TTTCCGCTCAAGTGGCTTGTTTTGGGGGTAGGTAGGAAATGGAGATTTTACTGGCTGATGGATTGTAAAGTTTTTAAAAAATGAAGTGCTAGGAAAAACTGTCCCTTTAAAAAAAGACAGAATCACTAACTCCATTATTTATCCAACATAGGTCAGTAATCAATGTAGTTGCTAAGGAGCCCACAGATCTAAGTGAAAGCCTAGCTTTTTGCTGAGTCTGTACACTCTGATATGTGTCCTTCATTTATGGAAATATTTAAAAATGCCTCTGGTCTTTGAGAACATGTTATTGTTCCACCAATTGGCTTGCAAGAAGCCTCCAAGGTAGATCATTGATACAGGGAAATGAAAATTCCAATTCCAATATTTTTTCAGGTTGAAAAGGGCATCTCACAATTTGCTTATATAAGCAGACTGTAGCAATTCCTATTTCTAAGAAGAAACAAGCCACAAAAAATGTATGAAGTGACAATAGTTGTACATTTCTTATCATGTAAAGTGCTGTGGGTGGCTGTCCAAACAGGTAAAATATCTCCTTTGAACAGGCTGCATAGAAAATTTCTAAATAAATTATTCTGATGTAACATCCCCCCCTCCAGCAAACTGAAAATGATGTATTTCTGCTTGATTTCCATTTCCATGTCCTCTTATGATGCACTGTGCAAATCCAGACAGATTTATAAAAAAACTCATATCATACCAGAATATATAAATCTGATAAAAACTCTTACCTACCACTAATCACAGTAACAAAGGCCAGTAATGCAACAGGACGTGATACATCCCCAAATGCCATAACAGGTTATCCAAATTGTTAGCAAGCACTTTTACTTGCCCTAGTTTGCCTGGAGAGCTGCAGAATGATGTACATGTGATGTACCTTTTAAATAAGAGGGATCTTGGTTTTCCAGAGGCATGTAAACAACATACATTTATAGTCATGCATTAATTCCACTCTTGACACATTTGCTGCAGAGAAAAACAAGAGCAGAAGTCTCCCACAGCAATGATGACATGTATAGCACATAGCACATAGCACAAAAAGCAAGGCCTGATCCTGCCTCCAGTCTAGGAGCCTCAAACTGGCTAAACTAGAAAACTGGATCAATTCAGTCTCTTCACTCCACTGAAAATACTTATTCTTGTTTGCTTCTTCTGCTACATCTCTCCCTGTATTTGACACTTACACCTGATTTTGGAAGTGCAAGGCTTTCCTTGCCCAAGGAATTCCATTTCCTGTGTCTCAGCTTACTATATGGAAACGTCACAGGAAATGAGGTTAATTTGGAATGTTCAAAAAATCCCCAGCATTGCATTATAAATACTTTACATGTGCATGGTCTTGTACTACTTTGTCCTGGTTGTCTCCTCTGCTCCTAACCCATCTGCCCAAAGCACCAAACAAAAAAAAAAATTCAGCCAAAGAAAAATACCCACAAAACATACAAAATTAGGTTGTCTCTTGCTTAGGGATGAACTATCCACAGCAACAACGTCTTTTAAAAATGGACATTTCCTAAAGGTACACACCTCTGCAGGTAAGAACTTTTTTTTGCAGCATTCCTACCACATTGATGCTGAAGTGGAGATATTAATTGTAACAATTCTATATGCTACATAAGGATTCCAACAAATGTAGCATTAACATTCCAGCTTTACATTATTATGCAGTCCCACCTCCCTCAATTTTTAAAGCAAAATGTTCTGTTGTTTCATCTAATAAGTTTAAACATTTACTTGCTTCTATTAGCATTATTAATGACTAATACTCTTTATGATTTACTAGATCTATAATGTTGAAATAAATATATAAAAATTATGTTGTAATCATTTTGTAGGAAATCCATTTTGAAGATGGCTCCATGGAAACTTAGGGCCAATCATAGATGGGAGACAGGAGGGCCACTTGGCCAAGGGTCACAACACTCATGGTGTTGTATGGAGTTCTCCCAGAATTACAATTGATCCCCAGAATACAGAGATCAGTTCCCCTGGAAGAAATGGCAGCTTCAGACAGCAGATGGAACGGCATCACATCCCAGCTGAGCTCTATCCACTCCCGACATTCCAACCTTCCCTGGTACCATGAATTCAGAGTACAGCTCCGAGTAGGGTTGCCAAGTCCATCTTCCGCCCCCAGCGGGAGACTTTGGGGGAGTTCCTGGAGGGGGCAGGGCATCCCCGACGTGATGACGTCACATTGGGGACGTCCGCCGCCTGCCCGCGCACCCAATCTCCAGAAATGCCAGTTTCCTGCAATTAAAGGAGCCGGCGTTCCCCTTTTAAGTGCACAGTGCCGGCATTTCCCCTTTTAACTGCACAGTGCTGGCATTTCCCCCTTTAAGTGCACGGAGCTGGCATTTCCCTGCAAGCCTGATCTCAAGCGGAGATCTGGCTTGGGAGGAAACGTGGGCTTCATGCACTTAAAGGCAGCCACCCATCTCTCTCAAGAGAGAAGGGAGAGGGGTGGCTGTGGGTGTTGGGGGCGGGGCTTCCCCCGCTGGCCATCTGCCCGGTGGCGGGTAGAACCCCCCAAAATGGAGGACCCCTGGCAAACCGGGGGGGGGGGGGGTTGGCAACCCTAGCTCTGAGAATTGGCAGGCCTAATTGATTCCAGGCTTCAAGCTCAAAGGAGGCCACACATTTAGATAATTCTTAACTTTTTGGCATTTGATAAGTTTCACAACTTTCTCTCTCTTTCTGTGACTTATTTTTTATGTGTCATCATTTGTTTAAAATTATTTTGATTAGAGGCTTCAAAAGCTGGAAGTGGCTGGGTCAGAGAACCTATGGAAACTCCAAAGGTAGAAATACCAAAGATACCTAAAGAGGTCTGATTATGTTTTGCCTATGAAATACAAGAACTTTTTTCTTACATTGTTGAATCTATATATATATATTTAGCTCTGGAGTTTCCATGGAAAGCTGCCTCAAAATAGATTTCCTGCAAGATGACCATAGCATAATTTCATTTATTTAAATGTTGTAGTTGACATACAGAACAACAAATAGAAGTGCTAAGTCTCATTACTAGGTTTACATGTAGCCATGTATGAAACTTACAGTATATTTTAGGTAACCAGAAGAATTTAAATAATTTTTTTCAAAGAAAGAAATATCACCAGAAAAATAGAACTTGCTATAGTTCTTCCAGAGTTATTTTCTCTGAGGAAGATAGATATACCTATGCAATGCAGCAGAAATGTTACAATAGAGAAAACATTTCTTTTTTAGTTAAAGATGTACAGCAACCACAAGAACTCCTATTTTAGTTCACTTGATTATGGATCAATATAATCTGGAGAGTTTTCTGCTTCAAAAATGATCAACTACATTAATTCACAGATAATGAGGAGTTTTTTAAAAAAATTATACCAGCTAATGGCCAGGTCTGGGAACAGCAGGAAGCTTGTAGTACAGAATATTCTTCTTGCTAGCCATATATCTAATTCTGTCTAAGGGTTACACACGCTGTATGAAACCTTGATCCTTTGAAAAACTGTTATCACACATTTATTCTCATGGAGGGTGGGAACCCTTCCCATCAGTGCCTAGGAATTATCCCTGGGAAAGGATGTTCACAAGGAATAAATTTATGGCATGATAATCACCAGGTGAACTAGTCATGTAGCTTTGCTTTAAGCCACACAGAGAATAATGGATATACATTTATTCCCTGACATGAATGGCCCAGGCTAACCCAATCTTGTCAGATCTTGTAAGCTAAAGAGGGTCAGCCCTGGTTAGTACTTGGATGAGAGATCACTAAGGAAGGTTGCTATGCAGAAGCAGGCAATAGCAAACCACCTCTGATTGTTTCTTGCTTTGAAAATCATAAGCCGGCTGTGACATGATGGTACTTTCCACCACCACCACCACCACCACCACCATTTATTTATTTAGGGATTTATATACCCCCACAATGTCTCCCAACAATGTCAGGACCCAAGGTGGGTAACACCAGCAAATAGTATACAAAAATAATAATGTATTAACGTCATTATGTAACATCATTACCCACATAAATCCACTACCCACACACTTAGAGTCTTCAAGTTACCCAAGTAAACTCTCTTAAATAGCTCCCATTTACAGCCTCACTGTCGGATCCTAAGGGTAGGTGTCTGGCTCGTTCCTTCTGGGACGCTGTTAAACAGCTACAAGGGACCAACAGAAAAGGCCTCAACCTAAGTCAGACTGTGTTGTGAAGAGACAGAGGGAACTGCTAAGAGATCCTGTTGTGAGGAGTGCAAGTGCCTTACAGGTACATTTAGTACACATACTGGAAACATGTTGGTCATAAATAGATGGCCTTCTAAAAGCCAAGTCTGTACAACTTTCTCATCTGACACCAGCTCTTGGGAACATGGATAACCCAGGATTATAAAACTCCCCTGAGAAGTCTGTTCTCGCATATGGGGCACTAGATATTCCCTTTACAGATGGCAAAGGATGGCCTCTGTACGCAAACAAGAAAAGTGCAAAATTATAGAAAAGCTGTTCTTTTTTGGCCTGGAGTTCTCTTTCATTAGGAAGTTTACAGACAGGCCTATAATAAGAAATTACATAGACAACCCATGCTTAACTGTTATAGATGGATGCTACCATTACCAAATATTTAAAAATATATACACTATGTTCTTCTCCCAGCATTCATGCTGTTTAATATTTAAAACAACACTACTTAATGACCCTAAGAACAGGGGCAAATTACCATTCATAATGAATGTGCATAGCAACAGATGCTACCTTCAAAACCCTCATGAGTAAAACCTGAATGGGATGAACCGATGGGAAATTCATACAGGCTCACTGGCCACTGAAGTATTCATAGTGCCATATTCTAACTTTCTGACCTTAAGTACTAATTTATCAGTTCATGGGGCAAGGAAGTAAAAAGCATAGAATAACCTATACTACAGTTGTGTTGTCCTGTACACATCTAGCAGCTCATACCACAGAAGAGAGAGGAATGAGTGAAAGAACTGGTTCCTTTGTTTTTAAGGTCCAGTGTTGTTAGCAGCCATGGGGGCCCAACCAGGATAAGCATCGAGATGGAACAAAGGCACGGCCCATGTCATGACAGCAAGCATGACCACAGCAACTCCAATTATATTGACACCCAAACCAGCTTTGACCTAAAATGAGAAAAAAAAATCTGTTTACAAGACAAATTTGTCAAAGCAATTTTTCAAGGCTAAAGATATGCTTAAGAAGCTGGTGTTGTTTAGTTGCCAAGCACATGATCTTGTGGTTTAAGGCAGGTCACGGTGAGGGCCGGATTAAGACATGAGGACCTAAACCATGCCAAGTTCAAGTGGCCCCATACCACTGCAAAAAAGTGCATTAGTAAAATCTAGTGTTTTATTTTATTTAGAGGTAGAAAATCCCAGAAGTTTTGAAGCTGTGGGGAAAAAATGTTTTCCCCCCAGAAACCCACCCAGACATTTTGGTAAAAGTAGAAATATAGGCAATACTTACTTTCCTATCAATCCTAATCTTCTTTTACTGATTTAATAACATAAAATATATTGTTTACAACTTATTTAGCATTTAAGATTGTACTATTTGGCATATTCACTGAATATAAAAGTATAAATATCTTTGTTTTTTATAAGAAAAGTTGGAAGTATCCCCTTTGACAAGGGGTTGCAAACGTTTGCACTCTATACTATTATAGTATACGTATCCTTATTTTTTGCCATCTGAGAGGGAGAAAAAAATTGAAAACAAATCATGTATTATTTGGTCAGAAAGTCTCTCATAGAATCACAGGAGGTAGGATTACCAGGATGTTTGGGTATTATGATAACTTTCTATTTCTGAAAAGTGCTCAGACATTTTTCATGCTGTACATTTGCTATCAGTGAAATGCTTTAGAATAAAGTTTGAGACCAGTAGCACCTTTAAGACCAACAGAGTTAAAGGTGCCACTGGACTCAAACTTTGTTTTATTGCTTCAGACCAATATGGTCTGAAGCACCTGAGTGAAATACTTTGTAAAACAAGAGTTTTCTCACTCAGATTTAATGGGTGAAATAGGGGTGATAGAATGTTGTAAGAATTATTGAAATAGTGTATGTGAAATATTTTGAGCACTTAGGAGAAGAACTGTATAAATATAACATTGAAAATATTGAAAGAACTTTATGTCAACTGTGCATGAGTGGCTGAATACTTACCATGTCAATAACATTCAAGTGCCCATAGGAAAACACGATGGCGTTGGGTGGATTTGCTACAGGCAGCAGAAATGCAAATGATGTGCAGAGGGTTGAGGGGATCAAAATATAAAGGGGGTTCACAGAAATTGCTTCAGCCTGTTAAACACCATGAGAGAACTGGTTTCAGCAATTGATTGCTCATTTTCATTACAAGAAGTTTAGATCTGATGCAATAAGGGATTAATATGCAAGGGAGAGCTGACACCAATATAGCATCATTATAACAGAGTCATAAAGCATAAGCATGACCATTCTCATGTATTAATCATTCATAGTGTTTAAATGTGCCATGGCCTGTGAAACAGATTGTTACCAAAGGTCTCTCATTTTCCATCCCTATGTATACGGTTGTATGCTACCTTACTGGGCTGAAAGGCAGCTGCCCTGCAGGATTCCACACAGAAGGGTTCACAGCGGTACTATCATCTGCAGTACTTTACTGAGGTCCAGTGTGGTCTTTCAAGACTGGTATGACCTTTAGAGATTAGTTTGATGACCTTGTATTTACTATAGCAATATACAGAGAGTCAAACCGAAAACAAACATTCCAGCATTCCTTGTATCTCACAAAGGGATGGCACTAGATACCTACTTTTAAAAACCAAAAGCTGGGAATTCAGAGAACCTGCTTGACCTACATTGCAGCAGTATGTCTATATATTGATATTTTAGTACCTTTAAAAAAACTGAAACAACTCATCGTCAGGGTGGGGGCATAGGACAGGGTGTTTTGACAATGATGACAGTCCAATAATTGAAAGTGGGCTGGAGGTTCCGTGGGAGTGGGCAGGACAAAGAAAACTAACAGAGAGATTACCACAAGGAAAAGGGGGATTCAAAATCGGCTTCCAGGAAAAAAAAAATCTGAGTAAAAGTAGATAAACCAAAGCACCATGTGTCCAGAACTGATGAAAAAACAATTATGTAAAAGCCATTTGTTATTTTCTATAGAGCCTCAGCTACACACAAGACCACACCATTTTACTCTAAAACTAATCAACCACACATAGCTGCCATCCTCTGATCCCTGCTCACATTTACTAATCCAGATCCCCATTCCAGTCCATTCCAGTCCTGAAACCCTTTGGCAGCTCAGTGAAGAGCAAAATTAATTGGAATGGGGTAGTTTTCTGACCCAGGTTCTTTTCTGTTTACAGAAAGAAAACTACGTTGGAATTGGCAGTACTTCAGGGACTTTTTTTTTTTTGCTAACATGCAGTTTACAATAACCTAACAGGAATCTACTTCTGTGTGCATTCAACCAAAAAAATAAAAAATAAAATGAAAGCAAGATGGAATTTCCCCCAACTTTTGTATGCTTTTTGCCAAAAGAAACTGCAACTGGAGTTGTCATTTCCACCAATTTCTCTATAAGCCATGTTTTGAAAGACTGGCAAAACCCAAACTTGCACTATTCTTTATCCATCTTGAACTGACCACTTCAAAAACAAACCAGATATAGAAAAGTAACTCACCAAAGGGGATAGGATAGGCAGAAATATGGTGATAGTGGCAGGATTGCTGGCCACTTCAGTCACTGAGGTGACAATCAAAGATGAAATGAGGATAATCAGCCAGACAGGCAGTGATCCCAAAGGGCTTAATTTGCTTGCTATCCAGGCTGAGAGTTGGGAAACCTGAGAAAAGGAACATTTGCATAGTTAACCTAGTTATCTGTAAAGAGGACTAGGGTTCTCCCCCCCCCCACACACACATACACATAACATTAAGAAAAAAGAGGTGACCATCCCTCACACAGGCACTGGGGAGGGGGCAATGTTTTCTTGCTTACAGACAGCCTGCCAACCTAAAACAACTTCTCACTCACACTGATAAACTACTTAGCAGTAACATGGACTCTGATGGTACCAAGGCCTGCACCAAACCAAGATGCCAACTTTGCTCTTATATAGATCCTAGAAACACCATCAGTGGACCCAGCAACATCAGCCAGAACATCTGTTACCCTAAGTGGTTGTGAAGGTCTCCTGAGTTTGTTGGGGAATTAGGCAGGACACCCAAACAATGCAAGAGGGGGTAATCAAGCGGGATCTCCACCTATGTTTATGGGGATTTTCCCCACAGTGGAACTCTCAAAATGAACCAGGCCGTGATTAATGAAATGGTTTTTATTAAAGAAGATTAAAGAATAAAATCAAAAACTTATTAATCGAAGAGCACTCTATAAACACACATGCAAGTCCAGAAAATAAAGGTGGTAGCTTATAGAGACAAAGAAGGGAATTTATTTTACACAGGGCTATATTTTCCTATCCAAAGAATCAGAACCAGAGATCTAAGGGAAAAAGATGAGCAAAATGAGCTGGGTGTATCCAGCTTCATGCTGTGAGTGTACTTTGAACACACACATACACACACACACAACAACAACAACAACAACAACGAGGAGAGATGAGAGACACTACTGAGCAGAATGTGGCTGGTTATACTCTTTTGAGGCATGACATGGTGGCTCCTAGAACAATACTGTGATGGTGTGAATGAAATAATGTTGTCTGAGCAAGGAAGCTTCATAACATTCCCAGGAATTGCAAGTGCAATGTAACATTCATGTGAAATGTCTATTGTGTTTGGTGAACTCTAATTGCCAGGACAAGACAACTATCACACAAAGGATTATGCGATTAAAATGGCTTTTACTAGGTATTTACTTAGAACGGCCAGGTAGGGTTGGGAAAGGTCAGGCAAGGTAGGGAGTTGGTTAGATTTACTGCACTTTCTGAGAAAATCAATCTTTGACATTGATGGATTTAAAGAGGGAAGAGAATTGCCAAAAACCTGCACCTTTAGGATCAGTTTTTCAGACAGGCCTCTGATCAAAATTTGATGGCATGCATTCCATGTGACTGTAGGACCTATATTGATCCTATTTACAAACCACAGAAGAGTCTTGAATGAGTGACCCTGTGAGATGCTAAGAGAGAGAAGGTTGCTTGTGTCACCTGTTTATAGGTACCAAGCTCGTCCTTCAAAGAAAGGAGGGGGTCAAGGTCTAACACATCTCAGGTTCACATACCTAGGTTTCCCTTGCTCGAAAGCCAGTCGAATCCGACTCTAGGGATGCGGTGCTCATCTCCGTTTCCAAGCCGAAGAGCCAGCGCTGTCCAAAGACATTTCCGTGGTCATGTGGTCAGCATGACTAAACGCCGAGGCGCACGGAACGCTGTTACCTTCACACCGAAGTAGTACCTATTTATCTACTTGAAATTTCTTGCTTTCGAATTGCTAGGTTGGCAGGTGCTGGGACCAGAGACAGGAGCTCACTCTGTCGTGCAGCACTCGGGTCTCGAACTGCCGAATTACCGACCTTCAGGTCTGCAGTTCAGCGTCTTAACCACTTGAGCCTGCTCATCCTCTAATGTGATTTATGCGGATGATACAAAGTTGTTCAGGGTGGTGAAAACCAGTGAGGATGGGGATCTGTCAAGGATGGGCGAGTGGGCGTCAACATGGCAAATGGGGTTCAATGTGGCCAAGTGCAAGGTGATGCACATTGGAGCCAAAAATCCTAAATATAAATACACATTGATGGGGTCTGAACTGGCAGAGACTGAGCAAGAGAGAGATCTTGGAGTTGTAGTAGATAACTCACTGAAAATGTCGAGACAGTGTGTGACTGCAATAAAGAAGGCCAATGCTATGCTGGGGATTATTAGGAAGGGTATTGAAAACAGATCAGCCAATATAATAATGCCCCTATATAAATCAATGGTGAGACCTCATTTGGAATACTGTGTGCAATTCTGGTCACCACACCTTAAAAAGAGGACGTCCTTCTTCACCCAAAGAGTGATTAACACTTGGAATTCACTGCCACAGGAAGTGGTGGGTGCTACAAGCATGGATGGCTTCAAAAGGGAATTAGATAAGCATATGGAGCAGAGGTCCATCAGTGGCTATTAGCCACAAGGTATAGCTAGGGGCTCTGGGGCAAGTGATGCTCTGTCTTCTTGGTGCTTGGGGGGGGGTCAACAGTGGGAGGGCTTCTAATGTCCTGGCCCCACTGCTGGACCTCCTGATGGCACTGGTATTTCTGGCCACTGTGTGACACAGAGTGTTGGACTGGATGGGCCTTTGGCCTGATCCACCATTGGCGTCTCTTATGTTCTCTCTTATGTTCTTATGTCAGCAATCCCCTTCCACGCTCTACATTGGACAAACAGGCCAGTCCCTTTGACAAAGAATTAATGGACATAAGTCTGATATTAGAAATCACAACATTAAAAAATCAGTGGGGGGACATTTTAATTTTGTAGGACATTCAGTTGCTGACCTAAGAGCAGCAGTTTTCTTACAAAGGAATTTCAAAGGGAGATTAGAAATAGAGACGGCTGAATTGCAACTGATAATGAAGCTCAAGACGATACATCCAGCTGGACTTAATCGAAACCCAGGTTTCCTGTCTCATTAACAATGCTGATTTCTCCATGCCTATTAGCTAGAATCATAGAGTTGGAAGGGACCTCCAGAGTCATCTAGTCCAACCCCCTGCAAAATTCAGGAAATACACAAATACCTCCCCCTCCGCAACCCCAGTGACCGCTGTTCCATGCCCAGAAGATGACAAAAACCCTCCAGGATCTGGCCTGGAGAAAAATTGCTTCCTGACCCCAAAGTGGTGATCAGCATTTCCCTAGGTGTGTAAGAAAGGGCCACGAAAACTAAGGACTGATGCAACCTTCGTGCCCTCCCTCTCATGATCTACCTAAGATCATGAATCAACATTGCTATCAGATGGCCATCTAGCCTCTGTTTGAAAACCTTCAAAGAAGGACAGCCCACCACCTCCTGAGGAAGCCTGTTCCATTCCATTAAGGAACCGCTCTGTCAGGAAGTTCTTCCTAATGTTTAGCCAAAACATTTCAACCCGTTGGTTCTGGTCCGATCTTCTTGGGCAACAGAAAACAACTGTGTTTTCTATATGACAGCCCTTCAAGTACTTGATGCTCTATTTGGGCAAATTAATTGAGAGGGTGGTGGCAATTCAGTTGCAGGGCTTTTTGGATGAAACCTCTGCATTAGATCCCTTCCACTCTGGCTTCCAACTAGGCCATGGGATGGAGACAGCACTGGTTGCCCTCAAGGATGATCTCCGGAGGCATCTGGATCGAGGCAGTTCGGCAGTGTTGCTGTTGTTAGACCTGTCGGCAGCATTCAACACGGTTGATCACCAACTACTGACCTGCCACCTTGTCGACACTGGGATTCAGGGGTCTGCCTTACAGTGGCTCTCCTCATTTCTTCAGGGTCAGGGACAAAGGGTGGCCATTGGGGAGCAGCTATCCTGAAGGCACCCGCTAGTTTGCGGAGTGCCCAAGGTGCAGTGCTTTTCCCTATGTTATTCAACATCTACATGTGCCCACTTGCTCAGATTGCCAGGAGTCATGAGCTGGGTTGTCACCAATATGCAGATGACATCCAGCTCTATCTGTTGTTGGGCAGCCAGTCTGACTCTAGCCTGAAAGATCTGGATCTGGCGTTGAAAGCTGTGGCTCATCGGCTTAGACTGAGTCAAGTGAAATTGAATCTGATGAAGACAGAGGTCCTGTGCCTGTGTCACAATGGCCTGGGGGTAGGAATCCCAGTCCCAACTTTCGATGAGGTACTCTTGGTGCCAGCACCAGAGGTCAGGAGTTTGGGAGTGCTCCTGAACACCTCCTTAACGATGGAAGCCCAGGCAGCAGCCACTGCGAAGTCTGCCTTTTATTAACTTTGACTGATTAAGCAGTTGGTTCCCTTCCTCGAACGCAATGACTTGGCAACAGTGATCCATGCAATGATCACCTCGAGATTGGATTACTGTAATGCTCTCTACATGGGGCTGCCCTTGTCCCAAATCCAGAAGCTGTAGCTGGTGCAGAATGCAGCGGCCAGGCTGTTGTTGGGCCTCCCTATGCGAGAGCACATCCAGCCTGCACTAAAACACTGCACTGGCTGCCTATAGCATACCGAATTCGGTTCAAGGTGCTGGTTCTCACCTTTAAAGCCCTATATGGTCAGGGACCTACATACCTAAGGGACCGGCTTTCCCCACATGTTCCTTGGAGAGCACTAAGATTGGGGTCCCAAAATCGTTTGGCTCTACTGGACCCCAGAGAAGCAAGGCTGGCTGTCATGAGGGCCAGGGCCTTTTCAGCGGCAGCTCTGCACTGGTGGAATGGGCTCCTGGAAGACATCAGGGCCCTGTGGGACCTTTTCCAATTCTGCAGGGCCTGTAAGACGGAGCTCTTCCACCAGGCCTTTGACTAAGGAGCTGTATCATACAAACTGAGGCCCTGGCCTCAATAACCCAGATTATGACGGTAGCTGATTGTTTTGTTGCATGCTGACTATGCTTGCCATCATATATGAACCATCTAGTACTAGCACTTTGTGATGTTTTTATATTTATATTATTTATGATTTTACCTATATTTGTTTTAATTGTATAAAATTCCATGTAAGCCACACTGAGCCTGCCAAGGCGGGGAGGGCGGGGTAGAAATTAAATAAACAAACAAATAAATACCAGAGCCCATTTAGGGCAGAAGTGACATTGGGAAGAGCTGTGAGATGATAAAGCATGAGTGGGGAACCAGGGAGAGAATTCAGCTGGTCTGTCTGATACTCCCTTTGGTCTAAAACTTGACTCCATAATCCTTTTTATGTGTGATTAGGTGGACACAGATTTAAACCAACAGGTCTGGCACTGTCATGGGTATTTTGACCTTTTAAACACAAGAATATCATGACTGTTAGTTAGTAAGGTTGGGTAACTTGGAAAATCCAACTGTTTACTAATTGTAACCACTAACTCTTAATCCAATACTGATTTATACTGATTTATCTAACATCAATAGCATTGGGGTGTTTAGAGAAACAGAAGTGATCTCTTAAGTGTGTGTGTGTAGGTCAAAAGTATAGATCTTGCTAAGAAACTGGTCACTGGGTTCTCCTTTGGCCCTACCATTGTGTGCTAATGTCATCCAAGTTTTGCCCCAGGCGTGGCAGAGGCTACCATGCTTATAAAAACTGTGGAGCAGAAACATCCCTCGACCACACTTGCTGCCGCCAGCATCCTGCATCCAGTGGTATGGGAAGTTTTGTTTGGGTTGGTATATTATGAAGCAACAATGAATTCTGACCAACTTGCACATGTGACAATATCAACAATCAAAATGTTGCTTAGAGCTGGGAGGTTCAACATGAGTTTGATCACCAGATCATATGACACAGCAGAAAAAAATCTATTGTTTCCATTTTAGTTAAACATCATCTAAAATACTGTTGTAGGATACATAGAAGACCTTTTATTTAATAGACTGTGGACTGTATTTTGGTCATTGCAGAAAAGATTCATTATGACTTCATGCTACAAACCCAAATACTGTTACTTACTAAGTAAGTGTAGTGGTACTTATTTCTGAATAAATATGCTTAGTATTGCAGTGCATATCTTTGAGCACCACTCTTCTGTGCATGAAGACCCCCAATACAGCTAGTATTGGAAAACATGATTGTACTTGAACCGCCTATTTTCCCATAACTATTTCAGAACAATCATTCTGTTCACTACATTGCTTAGCTTCTGTTCCTTCAAACTGTGTTTTCATGATCTGTAGTTTTATGCTGGGCTGGGGCTTTTTTAATGATGAAGTTCAATATCATCTAATATTTTATTTTTAATTATTTTTATTTTGTAAACTGCCATAGGCAAGTTCCTGGAGAGGTGACATAAAAATGTTTCAAATAAAAATAAATAAACCATTCCTCCAAATGTTTTTTGCAACTAGTTACTTCTTATTAATATTATTATTGATTTAGTATATTGTTAACAAAACAAAACATTACCTCACAGCCATCTGCCAGTGCGAACCCTCCACCAACAAGAATGGCAATTTCCCAAGGCATGCATGCCTGAAATTCTTTCCAAGTAATCAGTGGAGTGTAATCAAAAGGAACTACAGAGGGGGAAAACAAAATTAAGATCTACAAGAAAAAAGATCTATTACATTACCTTTCCATTACTCTTTCTTATTTTTAAACTCATAGTATCCAGGTTTGTAATAATCTTTCAAGTGTTCCTCACTATGAAGAATTTAACATATTTGGAAAAGTTCTACAACCCATACTCAAACAGTGTGAGTGCCTAGATGACTTCCAGATAGTGTTGGTTAGTGGTTAGTATCTCACTAAGTACTGGGGACATCCAGGTTAAAATGTGATGATTTACTTAGCAATTCATGGGAGGAAGCTTCAGGCTGGAGCCAGCCTCCCTCACAACATACTAATTGAGCATTAATGCTGAGATGGGGACTCCCACTGCTGATGGGTTCCCTGTTCATTTGAGTAGGAGTCAGATCACATGTATGGCAATCAGTGCCTCCACAGAACCTCCCTTCCTCTGCATGCTTATAAAAGCTCCATGTCTATATACTGTAGTGAATACAGAGCTCTGAATTAGATGAATGCTAATGTATTATTCTAGCAGTCTAGCCATGAATAGTTTATGGCACACACATTCAAACATGAACACATTGAACAAATTGATGTAAGAATTGGGGGGGGGGCTCAACATCCTAGAGGGCCCCCCTCTCTTATTTGCCATTGCCAAGGAAGTATACTCAACTGTTTTCACTGCTTGAAGTTTTAGATAATGTTTTTGCTGGAACAACGAAGAAGAGGAGGCCAATGAGTAATGCGGCTGTTGAATCTGTAGCAAATCCTGGGTATCTGAGGAGAGATTTGAAGACTATTTTGTCAACAATGTCACTGCAATAGGAAAATGAATTATTCTCAGATTCTTCAGTCAGTTTAGAGAGCTATTTCATGGTGATGAGAACCAGCTCTAATTATTTCAAGGCAGTATTGATTATACTATGTAGGTTGTCACTTGCAGAAATGAGAAACCATCAGTTTAGCTGGATTTGTTTATTACAGGAGGAACTCTGTACCAGTCTAAAGGAGGACGGAGGCTTTTATTAATGGTTTCCAAGACTTACAGAAAAAATGTTTTACTGAGCTCCATCTCCTGACCTGAAAACCTCTCATACAACACCTTCCCCACTTCCTGGGAAAAGCAACATAGGACCCTTCACCACAGAAGAATAGAATGATGGATATTCTCAGACACTTTATATTTGCATGTGCAACATATACATTGAGTCAGAATGAGGACCCACAGCTCAAGAAAGTATATTTCTCTGCCTTGTTTGGAAAACCACACAATTATAGAACTTTTGTGACATTATGGCTATTGTTGGCCATCTCTCTCTATTTTGCTGGGAAAAGAGAAAACCTCCTGGTTGGATTGTGGTCCAGTAAGGCAGGAGTCCCCAGTGTCGATTAACCTGTGCATACTTTTGGAATTTTCAGAATGGGGAATGTGTGCCACCACAAAATGGCTGACACTGGGACTTGGCCCAGGCACAAAATGTGGTGTTTCCTAGCCAAGTATCCCTGTATGATGGAGGCAGCTGTTTTTGAAATGGTGCTTTCTGCAGACACAAAGATGATGCCTCTTCAATTCTTCTGAAGTACCTCTTGCTTCAGTGAGGTAGAGGAAACCCAGGAGTGGCTATGTGCTTCTGAGGAGAGATGGTTTGGGGAAGAAGTAAATATGCACCAGGAAACCCAGTGTTGGGTGCCATTGTAGCCCAGGTACCATGTTAGGGATCATTGCTCCAGCATTAAAGCAAATAGAAGCTTCCTGTATATTTTATTATACTAGGAATAAGGTCCATTGTGGAAATAAATACAATAAGCTCTAGAAAGAGGCACAGAGGGGCTGGCCTTGAGCACTCAGCGTCAATTTGCTCTGGCAACCTCAGCAGGGTATAGTGACACAGAGTCCACCATCTTCTCCAGGGGAACTGACCTCTGCCATCTGAAGAGTAGTTGTAATTCTGAGTGATCTCCAGCCCTCACCTGGAGGTTGGCAACAATTATTCCACAGGAGGAAATGGCTGGTTTGGAGGGTGGAGTCTATTGCATTGTACCTGTCTGAGGCCCCACTTCCATCTCCTCCCTCCTCCCTGCAGCCTGTACCTAGGAAAAGTAAAGTCTTTCTCCACAGTGGGGACCAAAGCAGCTCACATCATTCTCCTCTCCCCCTTTCAGTCTGCACAACAACCCTGTGAAATCACCCAATCAGCTTCCACAGGAAGAACCTGGGTCTGGCAGACCCTGCTCTGAAGCACTAACTGCTATGTCACACTGACTGTCATGGGGGGGGGCACCTCAGCAGGGTATAATGACACAGAGTCCACCATTTTATCCAGAGGAACTAATCTCTGACATCTGGAGAGCAGTTGTAATTCTAAGTGATCTCCAGCCCTCCCCTGGAGATTGGCAACAATGGTTTACCAGGAGGAAATGGCTGGTTTGGAGGGTGGAGTCTATGACATTGTACCTGTCTGAGGTCCCACACCTCTTCAAACCCCACCCTTTCCAGGCTCTACCCCTCAAATCTCCAGGAATTTCCCAACCTGGAGTTGGCAATCCTATCTCCTTCCCAGAAAACTATCAATGTACTGTTATCTGCCCCTCTGATTTCAGTTTTCCATCTCCCCCCTCACCTGCAGCCTCTGCTTAGGAAAAGTACAGTCTTTTTCCTCAGGATAGAAGCGACCTCGGCAGGGTATAATGACACAGAGTCCACCCTGTAAAGCAGCCATTTTCTCCAGGGGAACTGATATCTGCCATTTGGAAAGCAGTTGTAATTCTGAGTGATCTCCAGCCCTCACCTGGAGATTGGCAGCAATGGTTCCCCAGGAGGAAATGTCTGGTTTGGAGGATGGCGTCTATGGCATTGTACCTGTCTGAAATCCCACACCTCCCCAAACTCTGGCTTCTGTAGACTCCACCACAATATCTCCAGGTATTTACCAACCTGGCAACCCTATTGAGGACTGGCCCCAATGAGTTCCCTACAGAAGCCATAGTAGGGCTGGAATGGGCCTCTTGTCTTTGCCTTTTTACTGACAGAACCAAGCTTGGTTGCCTAGCAACAGCCACTAAGGGAAAAGGTATCTCCACAGGAGCCAAGTAGGAGAAGCAGGAGAGACAGCCAATTTGGCAGTTTATTCTGTCAGGAAAGTGGCCAGGCTGGCAGTGGGCAGGGGAGAGAAGCGGACCCAGCATCCAGCCAATGGCACGCAAGTACTCTTGAGTGGCGGTTGATGGGTCAACGGCTGATGGAGCAAACTGCACAGCCAATGGGAGAGCTGGAAAGTGCCAGTACATTGGGCTTTCATATATATATGATTAGTGTTATGTGTTAACTATATTTTATCAAACCATTAATAGAACAAAAAGGAAGATATGCCATTACAATATTTTCAATTAATCTAAATTTTATTTCATCCTTTCAGAGCCATGTCTAAACCAAATCAGGACCATCCCTGCTAGATCTTCACTGTAGATTCTAAATGAGAGCTTACAATACAAAACTGGGGCAGGGGAACACCATGTCCCTCTTATCCATCAGATTCAATAAGTACATTGTTAATTTCTGTCCTTGCCTTGGCTGGTCTGGCAGAACACACTTTTCTCCCAGGCACTTGGCCTTAGCTGCAGTTCTTCCTCTGAGTTTCATCACTGCCCAGCAGAATAGACAAGTCTAACTCTGATAGGCCAATGGCCTGACTCAGACCATTTCGACTTCACCTCTCAAAGCATTGTCTCTTTCACTCCCCATACACACAAGAAACTTGCCTACTATCCCCTAGTATCCCTACTGTTTCCTTCCCATCACTGCCAAGCCCTACTTCCCCCTCTCAAGAAGATACCAGCAACTAGGCAACACCCACAGAAGATATCAGATCAGGTGTCACGTACTGATTAGAGTGGGTGCCGCACCGGAGTTTGTCTGATGAGACAGGAAATCACTACCTGCCTCAAGATGACAAGGTACATATATAGGTAAAATTTACTGCATAATAGTCAATATGTTATTAGATCCTATGTAAGCTGGAAAATATTTCCATGACTGAAAGAAATCATTAAGGTTAAAAAGGATTGTTGTTGCTTTAATTTAATTGCAGCTCTATCCACAATAAGCAGCTCCCCCCTTGGTGTAAATTCGATCAGATTCCCCCATCCATCCAGGTACAACTACAAGCTTCCTTCTGGGATAGATTTCAAAAGTCTTTGCTGCCTCTGCTGCTGTCTCAAGTAATTGCTGGAAACTGTAGGACCTAGGCTGTTGTAGTATAAAATAACTGCAGAATATTTTGCAGGCAATGAGTTAATCTGAAATAACCATGAGAAATAGGAATCTGGCCAATCTCAGATGAACTATCTTGTTCAGGTTCTAACAATCACAACTGTTGCTATGGCAACTGCACACATTCCAGGAGTAAATGTAAATAGTAGTTTGTTGTTTGCATTGGGTGAAAGTGAAATAAAAAAGGGGCAATATATAAAATATTCTTGAGTAAAATGATTACAGAGATGAGACAAACAGCTGAACTTCTTTATGAAATCTTCTTAGAAACTGAATAGAAAACATTTCTACTGAAGTCTTGAAGAATTAAAAACCTCATTTGTTATGTGATCTTATGTGTACAGGGGAATTTTTTTTTAAGTGTAAATAGAGACATACATAGTTTACAAAGATCTAGACAGTAAAAAACAGAGATGGGCTTATACCTTATTATTGTAAGGAAATTTAGGCTGGACATATAACACTCTAAAATGACCGACTCTGATGCAAAATGATGCATGTTCACATTTAGTTCAAATGAAAATGGATTGGAGAGAACCATGAAAGAAGCGTTACAAAGGTTCACACTGTTCTGGTGCCTGAAAATCAAGATTCTGTTTTAAAAAAGCCAGCAACCTCATGCCCCTTTGAAAGACATGACTGTTAAATTGAAAGCAATTGATTGGCACCTGCTTTTTGAAATAATCAGTATTTATTTTGTCAAGACTTGTGTACTGTGGAGTCTTTTTGGTATCCACACTGTGTGGCCACCACATGTGCATCTCTGATCTGCAAATACCTCAGTAGGACTTCTTGGTAAAGGCTCGGCAAACATTTTATTTTATTATTTATTTAAGGCATTTTTACCCCGCCCTCCCCGCATCACAAACCTCCTACATTAACATAGCTTTGAATGTTGCTGTTAGTTTGGAGGATAGAGGTTAAATAAGTTGAATGAGCCATTATATTTATGAAAAAAAATTCACATTCCACAGGTCACTAAATAATTTACTGGGATTTAGGCATACTGAGATGCCTGCATATGCTGATATACATTTTTAGGCCTGAGAGGCAGAAATTTCTGCATGAAGACAGCATAGCGGTAAAAAGCAATGAGCAATAGACAGACTGTCTCAGTTCTGCTTCCTAGAAGCAAAACAGAAAAACTGTAAAGTGACACAGGGAGAAAATAACCAGAGTGGATTTGTTATCCTGATGAGGTAGCACAGAACATATGGCGGGAAGTGGAACTTGGCAGCCCATAAGCAGAATCTGGCTCGCGGAAGGTCACCAGTTTCTATCCCTGGCAACTCTTAATCAGAAGGCTGAGGTAGTAGTTGATGTGAAAAACCTTGATCTAAGTCTCTGGAGAGCCACTGCCAATCAGAATAGACAAGACTGACTTTGATAGGCCAATGGTTTGACTCAGACCATTTCTGCACAAGTGCAAACCTGCACATTGGTGTTCTTAAATAATTGAAGTTTGTAAAAATTTCCACACAAGAAGAAGAAGAGATTGGATTTATACCCCGCCTTTCACTACCCGAAGGAGTCTCAGAGCGGTTTACAATCTCCTTTCCCTTCCCCTCCGCACAACAGAAACCCTGTGAGGTAGGTGGGGCTGAGAGAGCTCTTGACAGAAACTGCTCTTTTTCAAGAACAGCTCTTATCAGAACTATGGCTTGCCCAAGGTCATCCAGCCACGTGCAAGTGGAGGAGTGGGGCATCAAACCCGGTTCTCCCAGATTAGAGTCCGTGCACCTAACCACTACACCAAACAACTTCTTGCCTCCCCAGAAGCAGATCTGGGGGGCGCATCCGAACTTGCAGTTTTCCAGTGAGGAATTCCCAATTTTGAATTTTGTTTTCCACTGCCCTTTGGTGTCATCAGTGTTGCTTGTTCACACTTTTATTTTCCAGTAATGGTACTGATCACACCTGACTACCATGGAAATTTCCCCCAGTGGAAGAAAATGCAGTTTACCATTTGATTACTCGTGCTGCATACCAGGTATAGGCAACCTTTTCAGGCCAAGTGCAAAATACCTCTGTAGCATCTACCTGTGAAGATGTTGAAGTACTGGCAAACAAAATGGGCAAAGGCTGAGCTTGGACAGACTCACTAGGAGTTATACCCAGCAGTGCCTTTAGCACCGCAGGGGCTTGCACCTCAATCCCTTAGGTGGAGAACTAACCCTCTATGTCAAGTGCTTGGCAGGCCCATAGCTACAGTGCGGCATTTCAAGGCCCGCCCCCCACTTCCTGCCAAGGCCCCTGCCAAGGCTGAACTTCCATCCAGCCCCCAGACCCCCTGACTCTCTGGGTGACCCGGAGGACTCCCAACTCTCTGGGCCACCCGGAGGACTTCCCACAGCCACCCCCTTCCCCAAGCACAGTTTGCTTCCCTGCCACCCCTTCCCCAAGCGCGGCTTGCTTCCCTGCCACCCCTTCTCCAAGTGTGGCTTGCTTCCCTGTTGCCCCTTCTCCAAGTGTGGCTTGCTTCCCTGCCACCTCCACCCCTTCCCCAAGCATGGCAGCAGCCCCACCAGCTCCATCCCAAGCTAGCGGTGGAGCAGCATGAGGCAGCCAGGCGGGCAGGCAAGGTGGGGCCCGTGGGCCTGAACCAGTGCCTTCTGCCATAATCGGTAACTTTCGGTAGCACTCAGAGGCTGGCAGGACCAGTGCAGATTTGCAGCATGATCCAGGTTGGGCACCTCAGTGGAGCGCTGAACGCTGGCGGAGGAGGAGGTGTGCGCCCCGGGGAATTGATGCAACCAGGTTGTTGGGTTCAGGGTTGTAAACGGTCCCTGGGCTGACTCGGTAGGGAGGCAGAGTGCGAATGCTGCAAAACTGGCAGGGCCCACCCCAGCATGGGCAGCCCATGCTCATGACAATACCTGCCTGCTCCAACTGGCAAGCATGCGTTTTTAAAATTTTAATGTAATTTAATTTAATTTTTAACTTTGTGATGTCAGTGCCCCCCAACTTATTTAAAGGCCCTCCAAATTACAAAATCCTGGCTACGAGCCTGTGGCTTGGCATTTTGCTGTTCACCACAGAGGCTGGTGGTTGCCTACTCCTGTTCTTTGCAATGGCTGTTTTATTCAGTACCTTAAAAAACAAAAGCACACAAAGAAAAAATATTAGCAACTCGTCTACACTATCTGTATAGTGTCTGAAGAAGTATTTTCCAGTACCATCAATGTGGAGTGACTTAGAAGACCGAGGGATAATGCAAACTCCTCAGAACACAAAACACAGTCCCTGGGCATCTCCGTACATATTAACTTACTCTGAGAAAAGTGAGGCCCAACCAGGGATGAATCCAGGATCTCTAGTAAACCATAACAGGGCCATCAGAAAAAACAGGATAAGGGTGATGACTTCTGGGTAGCTGCAAAAGAAGCACAGTGTGTGTGTTACCATCATCTTTTATGCTAGCTTGCTTTGGCACTGCTGTAATATTCTCTCCTGTGGTTTATCCTTCTGCCTTACGTGATGGGTCCAAGTTTCTGGTATTCCTCTTCAATTACTCGTGCTGAAGCCAGCTCCTTGGTTGTCTTTGTCTTGCCACACTGGAACATTTTCTTGAAACTGAGAGGAAAATGGACAGTGAGAATAATGGTCAATTGCCGTAGTCATATGTCTGCTTATGTGCTCCCCCTGATATGCCATCCCGTTGCTAGGATCCAGAAAGCTACTCTAGGGCTTCAGCTCATACAATATGATATGAGCTTTTTTCTGAATGACAGATCCTTCTGTGCTCTTCCTCCAAATAATGAATGGCTTTTAGAAATCATCCTCCGTTTCAAAGCTGGCAGCTCATGCTAAAGACTCTTGTTTTGATGAACACAGTTCAAAGTTCCCTTGGATATGTGGAAGGAGCCACAGAGTTCTTTGGATTCAGGCCACAGTCTTTTTTTTTACAGAAATAATCAACACTTCATCATTCCCATAAGGTATAGCCTTTTTCAGTCTTCTATTTCAGAGCTCCTTCTTCACCTACTGTGCTATCCTCTTCATACACACAGTTGCCATTTTGTGTAAATAAAGCAATTTGTGTATTTTTCAGCTTTGATATATATTATCAGAAACCCAAGTTTGTTGCAGGTATGCATTTGCATGTAAAATGTGGAAATACATGCATTGTCACATTGATGTGAAATGGTGACCAAACATAGAATTGCCTGTAGCATGCTGTCTTGGTACAAGAGGTAAGAGTACCAAAAATATTACAGACTGAACAGGGTTATATGTACAAAATACAGTATGGACATTCCTATATGTGCTTTCATTTTGGCAAATCAGGTATTTTTGTACACAGTGTTTAGAGTCACCACACAGAGACATGAAATGCAAGTGATGGTAACTGACACGAGCCTCTTAGAACATCAACAAACCTGGGCTATGGATGAGTGTGGAGCACATGAGATCATTTCAGATTCAATCTCCACTTAAAGGACCTGAGATAAGTAGTCTTGGGAAAACCATTCTTTATCTGGGATCCCCAAGAGTTACCGCTAGTCAGAACTGACAATATTGAACTAGAGGGTACAGTGGCCCTACTCAACAGAAAGCTGCCTGGTATGGTCACGTGTTTAAGTTTCCAGTCTCTGCTGGAAGTCTTGGAAAGGCACTTTCAACACTATGGAAAATTCTTTAAATCCTGTGAAGTTGGTAAGTACACATAATCTGATGCACGGGGTGATAGATAAATTAAGTCTAACTATAGTTCCCTTACTCTAGTTGTTTAGGGTATGTAATTTACATTTTGTCTTGATTAAAGAGCTCCTTTTGCTTGGTCCATACTATGTGTGTCTCTATCCTTTCCCCTGAAGAGAAGGCTCAGTCTACCAATCCAAGAACAAGGAGAAGATGCTTGGCTACGGTGAAGCTTTTCCATCTGCACATGAAAAGAACCTTCCATATATCTTACACAAGTATTTGTACCTACCTGTGTATGCACTGTATGGGTCTATATATACAGAAGTTTCAAATTATTTCCCCACCTATCACCATCAGTGTACATGCAAATATTATTTTGGACTACACTGGGTTGATTTTGAACTTATAAAATGTATGGCTTATCATGACTATGCCCATACTGTCAAAGACTGAACACACTTCCTGCTTGGGTAGCAACTGTCACAAATTTTCACGAATGAACCTACCCATTCTAAGTTAAAGGCAATATTACATCCATTCTATATTCCACTGTACAAACACTTCTAATTCTATGGAAGCAAAGAGAAAGTCTTCTATATATTGCATGCCTAGACCATTTACTTTCTATGACCTTCTAAGACCCTGATTATAAGCACACTTGCTAATGAAATGAATTAATAGATGGGGTGGAAGAAAGCTTACCATCATCATTTGGAAAAACCAGGTTTAGGACCCGCTTTGCAAATAGGGATGGGCAGAAACTGACTCACAAACTTGTTTGTCACAAATTTTCGCTGGTTTATGGTTCACGAAGCAATGTTTGCAAACTGAAGACCCGCCACAAACTTCCACAAATTTTAAGGCAGTTTGTGGTGATAAAAGAAACACATGCCTATTTTTTGTAACACATCCTTGTTTGATCCTCCTGAAGGTGATTCTTACTAGGGCCAACCAGGCAAGTAGCTATATTCAAGGCTATAGATTTTCATGACATGAGTTCTTGTAGGGTAAAAGCTTGCATCACTGTTGGAACATTGTGTAACAACAAGGTGATTCATAATTAATTACAGAACCATACAACATTTTTGTGAAGGAAACTATTAAGCATGTGGAGGGAAGGCAGCATAGTATAGCCTGATCTCATCAGATCTCAGAAGCTAAACAGGATCGGTGCTTAGAAGGGAGACCACCAAGAAAGACTCTGCAGAGAACAGCAGTGGCAAACTACCTCTGCTTCTTACTTGCCTTGAAAACCCCTTGCTGGGTTGCCATAATTTGGCTGCGACCTGATGGCAGAGGTCATTATGAGTACTTAATCATGTCCATATGCTGCTTTTCTATTGAATCTGTGTGGTAGCACATGTACCACGTATAATCTGCAGGGAATGTGAGGACTAGTTCCAATGTAGTTGTATAAGATACATTAAACATTTACTTACTTGAAACCTAGGAAAAGCCACTGAAGCCAAACCCATGAAAGCAACAGAATAATAATAGTGATGGGAATGCAGAGAATAAACCAGGATCCAAAATTGATGCACTGGCAATCTGGGTACCGTCTGAATAGAAATGAAAATGAGACACAACTTAAAACAGGGTGATTACTCAAGAAAAGATCAAAACAACTTCTTCCTTGAACGTTAATGTCCTCTGAAACTGCCAGAACAAAAATTCCTGTTTTCAGTGATGAATGGTTAACTGGAATCTAACAAAACATTAAATATTAGCATACATTGTTAAATAACAATGCACTTTTCCAGATGTTCCAAATTCTTAATGTGTGAATAACTTCAGTTTTATGGTTGTGGAACTGAAAGACTTCAGAGATGCTTTCCCTCCACTTTCGTCAGCATAATACTTGACTAGAGCTTGTAGTGGGGGCTGCGGTGGCTCAGTGGTTAAGACGCTGAACTGCAGACTGGAAGGTCGGTAGTTTGGCAGTTCGAGAAGCAAGTGCCGCATGATGGAGTGAGCTCCCATCTCTGGTCCCAGCTCCTGTGAACCTAGCAGTTCGAAAGCAAGACATTGCAAGTAGATAAATAGGTACTGCTTCAATTGGAAGGTAACAGTGTTCTATGTGCCTCGGCGTCTAGTCATGCCAGCCACATGACCATGGAGACATCTTCAGACAGCAGTGGCTCTTCGGCTTGGAAACACTGCCCCCTAAAGTTGGATTCGACTGGCTTTTGAGCAAGGGAAACCTTTACCTTTACTAGAGCTTGCAGTAACAAAAGGAGTCAGACAAACAGGATTTCTCCCCAACAAACACTAGTGTTACAATCACCAAGTGGTGGGAACCAGATGAAGGTAGCAAGTGTGAAGGTCTCCAGAAAGTGCATACTCACCATTGGACAAGATCTCATTGTGAAACTGTCTAAATACCCATTTGGCCATAAGCCAATTGAGACAAAGAAAATATCCTTACACACACACACACACACACACACATATCATGGTCATGTGATTAATCTTTTGTTGCCTGAATCTATCCAGTGATGGCTAGATACTTCACAATTGCTAGACACTCCAAGCATTTAAAAATAATGGGTTAAAATACACCTCTCTCCCTACTTAAAACTGACTGAGCTGAACTAGCTGAAGAGTATAAAGTTGGGTAGATGTGATTTAACGTAATGAATTTTAAACTATGGCTCCTGCACCCCTACTACAAGCACCTCATCTTTAGGGTTCTAAAAATTCTCAACATTTTGAAGCCATTAAATTTTTTTCTAAGAAAACACACGCTTTGGGGGAAATTGAGATACATGTAACACTTATTTTCTATCAAGATATATGTAATACTTTGTACCAAGAAAGTATTTCTATTTCTACTTTCTACCTAAAGCTATTGAGTCTGTCTCATAAATGATGCTGCTATAATGTGAATTTCTGGAAGACCTTACATAAAGTAGCTGTTGTCATAAATATGTAGAGTTAGATCAGTGATGTATTGAAGGTCATTAATTTGAAGGTCATTAATTCATAGGGTTGCCATAAGTCAGGAGTGACTTGATGGCACTGAACATACACAGAGAGATCACTGGTCCTCAACATGCAGCCTATAAGCATCATAATGAGTACTAGGGCTGCCAAGTGGGGGCAGGGGGTGGGTAAACCCCCGCTTTGGAGGCCCGATTTCCGCTGCTGCGGAATTGGGCTCCGGGGGGAACTTCGCCCCCTGAAGCGCAGCGTGGCTGCGTCACCAGAGGTGAAGCAACCACGTTGATTACGTTGGGGGTGTGGCCCCGATCGTCGGAGGGAAAACTCTATGGTTTTCCCTCCGATGATCGGGGCCATGCCCCCAACGTGATCGACATTGCGCGTCACTTCTGGGACGTGTTGGTGGCACGCGCGAGAGCGCACATTAGAAGAGAGCTCCCGGAGCCCAGCGACGCTCCCCCGCCGGTATGAAAATTCGACTTGGTAATCCTAATGAGTACCAATGTGTTTTCTGGTGCCCCTTTCCTTCTTCCCCAAAGCAAAGAGCCAGTCCTGACTTTCTTCCACTTCACTGGTGCAGGATGTACTTTAGAAGGGGCCTTTTGTGTCTTCAGGTGGCATCCATTCAAAGACAGTTGATAGCATTTGGCTTAGAACCACCAAACATTTTTGTGATCAGCCCAGCTCCTGTGCCATTCATTTTGCAGTGCTACCCACTAACTGTTTTTAAAAAGTCAAAAGTACCCACAGACTCAACAAGGTTGGGGACCCCTGGGTCTACGGATGCCAGCCTCCAGGTGGGATCTGGAGATCCCCCCCCCATAATTACAGCTCATCTCCAGACTGCAGAGATCATTTTGCCCAGAAAAAATTGATGCTTTGGAAGGTGGACTCTATGGCATTATACCCCATTGAGGTTCCTGTCCTTCCCAGGTGCCATCTCCAAATCTCTAGGAGTTTCCCAACTTGGATCCAGCAACCTTGCACCCCATCCCCAACCAGTGGCCAGGGGGTACCTGACAGCCTACCTGGGTCAGAGAAGTGAGACTCACAGGGAGACCTTGGCCAGTTCATTCTCTCAGCCTAATCAAATCTATCTCATAAGGTTGTTATGAGGATAAAACAGAGGTGGAGAAAATGATATGTGCTGCTTTGAGCTCCTCAAAAGAAAGGGTGAGATAAAAATGGCATAAATAATCAAATCATAAAAATTACATGAAACGAACTGATTCTGTAGGAAAATGTTAGCTAAAGTCATTGCAATTTTGAAATCCTAACACTATGTCCTTGTTAGCATTATAGGGTACAAGTGGAGACCCGCAAGAAACTTGTGGGATGGTTATCCTATTCCTCACACCTTTGCTTCCTCCTGTCTCCCCCTACCGCTCTCACACTCTTTCTACCTAGGAAAATTACAGTCTTTCTCCACAGTGGGGACCAAAGCAGCTTACATTATTCTCGCCTCCTTTTATCTGCACACCAACCCTGTGAGGTTGGCTAGGCTGAAAGTATGTGACTGGTCCAAAATCACCCAGTCAGCTTCCACTGCAAGATGGGGATCTTAACCTGGGTCTCGCAGACCCTAATCTGAATATCTAACTGTTACATCACACTGGCTTTCATAGGGTGGCTGCTGATGAACAGTAGCAAGCAGCTGGGCCTAGTTGAGTCATGCCAATCAGGTGGTATCAAGTCACCCAGAGGGTGCTGCCTAGGGATTCCAACCTCCAGGTGGGACCTGGGGATGCCTGGAATTACTGCTCATCTCCAGACTGCAGAGATAATTTCCCATGGAGAAAATGGATGCTTTGGAGGGTGGTTTGGAGGGAGGACTCTGTGACATTGTACCCCACTGAGATATCTGTCCTCCCCAGGCTCCACCTGCAAATCTCCAGGAGTTTCCCAGCCTGGATCTGGCAACCTTGCCCCCCATCCCCTGCTGGTGGCCAGTGGGGGACCTGGTGACCCTAAACTGCTGCCAGGCCTAGGGTTACCAACCTCTAAGTGGGGCCTGGAGGACCACCCCCCCAGAATTACAACTGAACTCAAGACAGCAGAGATCTGTCTCCCTGGAGAAAATGGCTGCTTTGGAGGCATTATACCCAGCTGCGGCCTCTCCTTCCCCAAACCCAGCCCTCCTTACAGTCTACCTCAAAAACTCTAGGGATTCCCCAGGCTGGCACTGGCAACCCTTGTCAGGTCTGTCCTCAAGGCTCCCTCCCTCCCTCCAAGACCAAAAGAGGCCAGGAAAGGGCCCTTCCCCCACCCTTTTACTGACAGAGACAGTTAGAAGCCTCCCCCCTCCCCGAACGTTCTAATCTCTCACTGTTGATGCCTGGAGTTAGATCCCTGCAGAGGCCATTTCAAAAGGTATTGGGGGGATGTCAACCTTCCCTGAAGGGATTTTTTTACTTCTTGGATTTTTCTGCAGACACAGGAAGTCTACTGACTATGTAGGAAAACCTGTTGGGGGAGAGTGAGCCCTCTGTTGGCAGAAATAAGTATCTGCACAACCTGCCCCCTGTTGGAATTAGATATATGGATTGACAAGAAATTAACTTCAGGATCATTACCTGCCTATAACAGTAAAGTAGACCATAAGCAGACATTATCTCATCCAATTCTTTCTCACTGTTTGACAAAAGACCTTCTGAGGAAGGGACATGCAGGTGATTCTAGTGGGAACAGACCTTTGGGGAGCAAATGCAGATTCCGTCGGAAGCTTAATGCTTTGACAGGAGTTATGCATGGAGAGTTCCCCCTGAGTGCTGTGATTCCCTCTGCATGCCAATAGCCTGAACTCATCATGCTTGAAAAGCTAAAGAGATCAACAGCTTAACAAATAGCGAGATTTTCTATAATGAGAAAAGGGTTCATTCAGAGGAAAATGTTTGTTTGATTTTATTATGCTCTCCTTGGGACAAAGGTGCCAGAATTTGATTTGAACATTTAGATGATAACATTTATAATGGGGACAGGTTTTTCTTCTTTTCAGAGATACTATGTGTTAGTTTCAGCCAAAGACAGGGAAAGATAGAAAGGTAGAGAATGAATTTGCTTCTTGCCTGCCATCCCACCCTTTCACCCTTTACCTGACCAGTAAATACTGGACATACCTATGTTATTGGGGCAGGCAACCTTTTTGGAATGAGCTCTGAAAATAACTGTGGGGCTTCTTCCTACCCCTCCATACCCATTGCACTATTACCTCAGCTGATGCTCCCTCTCTAAATATTGTAATGCTCTTGCTGCAGTGATGAAGCATGCCTAAACCTATGTTTGCCTTCTGAAAATCAATTGAGTTAGATGTGTGCTCCAACCTGAGAGAAGACAACCACACATGCTCGTAGCATCCACAGGGCCCACAAAGCCTACCCCCCCATAGTTTTTATGGACCCCCCTATAATCCTCGGCTCCCCCTTCCCCCACTGCACCGCCTGCTGCTGCTCCCTCAAAAAACAAAAAAGAAAAACCAAGTGCCGAGCCAAGGTTTCTGGCTGGCTCTCACTCCCCCTCCTCCTCCTTCTGTGGTGGCATTGCTGGCGGCTCCTCACTGGGTCAGAGCGGGCACGAGGAGCGGAGCCGGCGGTGCCGGGGAGACAAAGGGGGCTGGATGGCG